ATCTGGGATCTCCAAAACCTTGGGAATCTGGGAGTGAGGAGGGATTCCAGGTAATATCTGGAGGGTTTCTGTGGAATCTGGGATCTCCAAAACCTCTGGAATTCGGGCTGCATTGCTCAGGGAGTGAGGAGAGATTCCAGGTAAGATCTGGAGGATTTCTCTGGAATTTGGGCTCTCCAAAACCTCTCTGGAATCTGGGAGTGAGGAAAGATTCCAGGGAAGGTCTGGAGGGTTTCTGTGGAATCTGGGCTCTCCAAAACCTCTCTGGGATCTGGGAGTGAGGAAAGATCTGTGGAATTTAGGATCTCCAAAACCTCTGGAATTCGGGCTGCATTGCTCAGGGAGTGAGGAGGGATTCCAGGTAAGGTCTGGAGGTTTCTGTGGAATCTGGAATCTGGGAGTGAAGAAAGATTCCAGGTAAGGTCTGGAGGTTTCTGTGGAATTTGGGCTCTCCAAAACCTCTCTGGAATCTGGGAGTGAGGAAAGATCTGTGGAATTTGGGATCTCCAAAACCTCTGCAATTTGGGAGTGAAGAAATATTCCAGGTAAGGTCTGGAGGGTTTCTGTGGAATTTGGGCTCTCCAAAACCTCTGGAATTCGGGCTGCATTACTCAGGGAGTGAGGAGAGATTCCAGGTAATGTCTGGAGGGTTTCTCTGGAATTTGGGCTCTCCAAAACCTCTCTGGAATCTGGGAGTGAGGAAAGATCTGTGGAATTTGGGATCTCCAAAACCCCTCTGGAATCTGGGAGTGAAGAAAGATTCCAGGGAAGGTCTGGAGGGTTTCTGTGGAATTTGGGCACTCCAAAACCTCGGGAATCTGGGAGAGGAGAGATTCCAGGTAAGGCCTGGAAGTTACCAGCACCCAGCACACTCTCCTGGCACTGCTCCCATGGGATGATTCCACACTGAGCATCCCTGGGGAAGGCTGGAGTGATGGAGAGAGCAGGAAAGAGGCAAAAAGGAGGAGGGAATCAATCACTACAGTCTGGCTGAGACAGAAATTCAGTCAGACCCAGCAGGTCTGGGGAGCTCAGTTCTGCTCTCTGATCCTCCAATTCACCTGGGATTCTGACTTGGGAGCACCACAGAGGTTTTTAGGGGAGGATGGAGGGGTTTGGAATGGCAAAAGGGAGCCAGAGCTTTCCAGATCTCCTGGAAGGACAGCTCTGACTTTGCTGCCACACTGAGCATCCCTGGGGAAGGCTGGAGTGATGGAGAGAGCAGGAAAAGAGGCAAAAGGGAGGAGGGAATCAGTCACTACAGTCTGGCAGAGACAGAAATTCAGAGTCAGAGCCAGCAGGTCTGGGGAGCTCAGTTCTGCTGGAAACCTCACCTGAGATTCTGACTTGGGAGCACCACAGAGGTTTTTAGGGGAGGATGGAGGGGTTTGGAATGGCAAAA